TATCACAATAAAGTCAGCCACACAATTTCGCTTATTTCCCAATGCATTCAAACGTTAATTTTCACACTATTCTGTAGTATGTTAAGTGTGTATCTAAAAGCTTTGATCTAAAACGGTAATCTACACACACTAATTGAAAAACTCTAAAGGACGCTGAAGATCATCCAAGCCTTCAGTGAGCTGAGACCTTTTGCTGGTGGAGGGTCTTGTTTAATATTGATATCTGCTGACTGATCACGGTGATGGTTTCTGAAGGTCGGGTAGCTGTAGCAATTTCGGAAAAATAAGACAATTGTGAAATATGCCACATTGACAGACTCTTTCTTTCGCAAATGATTTCTTAGTTGTATATAATGCAGTTTGAGAGCATTTTACCTGCAGTAAATCTTCTTTCATGGAGTCAGTTCTATCAAACCCAGTCTACTGTTTTGGCAACTAAATTGGTGTACTATTTTAAATATTTTGTTGTCATTTCTATGATGTTCACAGCTTCTTCAGCAGGAGTAGATTCTATCTTGAGAAACAATGTTCTTTGCGCATCTGTAAGAAACAATTCCTCATTTGTTCAAGTTTCATCATGAGATTGAAGTAATTTAGTTCCATTTCAGGCTCCACTACTAATTCAGTTCTCCTGCTATTTCCACCATATCTGCAGTTACCTCCTCCACTGAAGTTTTGAATGTCTCAAAGTCATCTATGAGGGTTGGAATAAACTTTTTTCAAACTCCAGTAAATATTGATATTTTTGACCTCCTCCCATCGATTATGAATATTCTTAATGGTTTCAAGAATTGTGAATCCATTAAATCCATTCCAGAAAGTTTTTAATTTATTTTGCCCAGATCCAATACAGCAACCACCGTCTATGACAATTATAGCTTCCAAAAATATATTTCTTAAATAATAAGAGTTGAAAGTCCACATTACTCCTTGATTTGTAAGCTGCAGAAAGGATTCTGTGTTAGCAGGAGTGAAAATACTATTCTTTTTTTTTTTTTACATCTCATCAGAGCTCTTGGGTGACTAGGTATATTATCAATGCACACTAATATTTTTAAAAGAATCTTTTTCTTTTTCTGAGCAGTAGCTCTCAATAGTGGGCTTAAAATATTCAGCAAACCATGCTATAAACACATATGCTGTCATCCAACCTTTGTAGTTTCATTTATAGAGAACAGACAGAGTAGATTTAGCATGATTCTTAAGGGCCTTGGCAGGGCACGGTGGCTCACGCCTGTAATCCCAGCACTTTGTGAGGCCGAAGCGGGTGGATCATGAGGTCAAGAGATCAAGACCATCCTGGTCAACATGGGGAAACCCCGTCTCTACGAAAATATATATATATATATATACAAAAAATTAGCTGGGCATGGTGGCATGTGCCTGTAATCCCAGCTACTCAGGAGGCTGAGGCAGGAGAATTGCCTGAACCCAGGAGGCAGAGGTTGTGGTGAGCCAAGATCGAGCCATTGCACTCCAGCCTGGGTAACAAGAGCGAAACTCCGTCTCAATTAAAAAAAAAGGGGGGGGGCCTTATGACTATCAAAACGGTAAATGAGCATCAGCTTCAACTTAAAGTTTCTATCTGCATTAGCCCCGATCAAGACAGTCAGCCTGTATTTTAAAGCTTTGAAGCCAGGCCACACTTTTTCCTCTCTAGCTATTAAAGTCCTAGATGACATCTTCTTCCAACAGAACGCTATTTCGTCTGCATTGGAACTCTTGCTGATGCAGCCACGTTTGTCAATGATCTTAGCTAGATATTCTAAATAACTGGCTGCAGCTTTTCATCAGCAATTGCTGCTTCGTTTTTCACTTTTAAGTTCTGGAGATGACTTGTTTCCTCATTCATCAACTTCTGCTAGCTTAAAACTTTTCTTCTGCAGTTTCCTCACTGGCCAGACTACGTAGAATTGAAGAGAGTTAGGATTTTGCTCTGAATTAGGCTTTGGCTCAAGAGAATGTTGTGGCGTCACTGATCTATCCAAATTACCACATCTTTCTTCATATCAGCAATAAGGCTGCTCTGCTTTCTTTTCTTTTCGAGACGGAGTTTTGCTCTTGTTACCCAGGCTGGAGTGCAATGGTGCGATCTCGGCTCACCGCAACCTCCGCCTCCTGGGTTCAGGCAATTCTCCTGCCTCAGCCTCCTGAGTAGCTGGGATTACAGGCACACGCCACCATGCCCAGCTAATTTTTTGTATCTTTAGTAGAGATGGGGGTTTCACCATGTTGATCAGAATGGTCTGGATCTCTTGACCTCGTAATTCACCAGCCTCGGCCTCCCTAAGTGCTGGGATCGCAGGTGTGAGCCACCCCGCCCGGCCCTCTGCTTTCTTATCATTCATGTTTATCTCTTTTAATTTCCTTGAAAACTTTTCCTTCATATTTACAACTTGGCTGTTTGCTCTAAGAGGCCTAGCTTTTAGCCTGTCTCTGCCTGTGACATAATTCCTCATTAAGTTTAATAATCTCTGTTTTTTTTTTTTAATTTAAAGTGAGAGTTGTGTGACTCTTCACTTCAACATTTAGAGGCCATTGTTGGCCTAATTCCAATACTGTGTGTCTCAGAGAGTAGGAAGGCCCAAGGAGAGGGAGAGAGACAGAGCAATGGCCAGCTGATGAAGCAGTCCAAACAAACATATTTATTCATTCAGTTTACCCTCTTGTATGGTTGTGATCTGTGGTACCCCCAAACAATTACAATACTAACATCAAAGGTCATTGCTCACAGATCACCACAAAATATATTTTTGTTTCATGTTACTATAAAGGAAAAATTAAAGCTGGGTCATGTAGGAAGGTAAGAGTTTTATTTGGCTCATGGTTCTGCAGACTGTACAAGAAGCATGGCACCAGCATCTCCTTCTTGTGCAGGCCTCAGGAAGCTTCTAATCATGGCAGAAAACAAAGGGAGGGCAGGTGTGTCACATGGTGAGAGAGGGTGCTAGATCTTTTTAGACAGCCAGCTCGTATGTGTGGTAATAGAGCGAGAGCTCACTCATTAAGGCACCAAGCCATTCATGAAGGATCTGTGCCCAGAACCCGAAGACCTCCTTCTAGGCCACATCTCCAACATCAGGGATCCAAGTTCAATGTGAGATTTGGAGGGGACAATTTCCAAGTGATATTAAAAGATATAATAATAATAATGAGAAAATTTGAAATATTGCAAGACATTAATATATGACACAGAGATATGAAGTGAGAACATGCTGCTGAAAAGAATTGTGCTGATATACTAGCTTGTTGTAGGATTGCCACAAATCTTCAATTTTTTACAAGTGTAATATCTTCAGTAAATACGGTATGCAATGCTAAATTGTCAATCTCTGACTCCCTCTGTCTACACACACACACACACACACACACACAAACACACACACGCCGTTAGTTCTGTTTCATTAGAGAATCCTGTCTACTGTTAATACATGGGCTTATTATAATTTTGTAATTTTATAGGATTTTTTAAAGTATACCTACAGTTCTATCTAATATTAATACATTGTGCTTATTATAATTTGGTAGAATTTTTTTTAAAGTATAGTAAAGAAAACCCAAAATTATATTCCAAAAGGAAACACTCAAATAAATGTAACATTGGCATTATTCGGTCTGCAAATTTCACTATTTATTGAAGAATTTGGATGATAGATACTGAAGATCAACAGAAGTGTAGCATTTTTAAATAGAATGGAGACCATGTGAAAACAATTTAAAAATTTGATTAAGCCAGTTGGATGTGAAGAGATGTTCTTGATCAAATGGACAATTGTGATTGTGGGAGAATGTGAATCGCATCACAACTGAGGGGGAGTGATGTAATGCAGCCTGTAATTCATGGAAATGTTTCTCCCTAAACTGTTGCACGGTTTCCACAATGTGCAGGCCCATACTGGTTGAATTATAACCTGAAAATACTGTGTGTGCAGCTTTGAAGCTATGAGAATGGAAAAAATATTAAAATTGAGAAAATATTATAAAGAAAGAACTGGTAAAAATCTGATGTTCTGAATGTGGAACGTAGAGGGTTGAGGATTCAAAGAATAATATTTAGCTTATGGGACTGAAGAACATGGAGTTTGGAGTTGGAACTCAAAAAAAATGCAACTTGGTTTTGAGACTCCCTCACAATTTCCTGAAGGAACTATAATTGATTTTTTGGAATGAATGGAATGGTTTACATGTACTTGAGGTGGACCATAGTCCATTCTCCAATAATAAGTAGGTTGCCAGATTTATTATTGTATATGAGTGAGAAAATATTATTAGGAACAAATGCTTAGATCTCCCAACTTTTTAATGTTGACATTTCAAGCTGTAAACCACAGGAAGCAAATATAAATTTTATACTTTCACAATCAAGTATCTATTTCCATGCTTTATAATTTTATTATGATAACTGCTTTTTAGGTTTGGTTAATGGGAATCCAATACCATGTTAACTTGAGGATTTATTACGTTTGATTTTTAAAAGGGAAGTTTAAGTATTAAAAGAAATATAGTTAAACATTGATGGAAAGGATCACTAACAAATGTTTAGTCCTCCATTGTGGCTGGATTTACTATTTAAAGTTGAAGTATACTTTGCCCTAAGTTACTGAGGCAATATACAGATGTATGCAGAATTTCTTCCAGAGGTTTGTTCAGAAGAAGAATATATTTACTCACCTTGCTTCCTGAAAAGATTCTGGCCATGACAGTATTAAGAATTCTACTTCCCTGCTATATAGCTATGGGAGCGGTGAGTTAGCACACACTAATATTGGCAATAATATTTCAATTAAATAGTAGATTAAATGTGGCGTTGTTAATTGCCACATTGTCTATGGCATTGTTCAGGAGCCAAGAAAACTATCTTAAGTGTTATTTCTTCATCCCCTCCTGCTCTTACCAAAACATTCTTTGTGACTATGGAGTTGAAGCTGTCATAAAGCTTTGACTCCGAGCTGGCTTCCTGATCCAGACCATCATGCTGTGGTGGTTTAAGAGCATATACTAGCCTTGCACAGTGGCAGTGTTGTGGCCAGGAAGTTTATCCAAAGCGCGATTATTGCTAATTGGAAATTTTCCCACTACCCCGCCGAGACGACTTACAATATAGTCGGTATTGGCCATTTTTGACAGTCTCCACAGAGACTGAAGAAAAAAAGAAGAAGAAAAAAAAGAAAAATAGAGCATATACTCTGGACTCAAACTGATATTACAGTCTGCTGTTGACTGTCTATGTTAACTTCTATTAAGTTACTTTATTTTATTATGTTTCCATTTTCCTGTCTCTACAATGGGTGAAACCATAATACCTACCATGTAGGATTTTTTCTAAAGATTATATGAAGATCTTATTCTTAGAAAGGAAAGCAAAAGGCAAGATTTAAGGACCTAATCCTTTATTTTAGTGATTCTAGCCAGGATGGTAAGAGAGAAAGGAAAAGGAAAGTGAGGTAACAAAAGAGGTAAAATTATGTGATGTTTATCAGCCTTGGCATGATTTCACAGCAAGTCACCTAGATGCACAAGATCCCTTGGTGAGTATGTTCTCTGTATACATGCCAGCACCTGGAAGGACTGGAGTAATAGGCAGGAAAGGAGAAGGGAGAGGAAGTTATCTTCATGACTCAGTCTCTCATTGGTCAAGGTGCCTATTGGCCAAAGTTCACTCCAGTGTAGCCACAGCTCTCTTGCAAATCCATGTGGTCATCCAGGCTTTGGTGTTTTCTCAAGAAACCTGGCAGAGAGGTTCATCAGAATCTGAGTGTGAATAGAAGACCTGGTGCAGTAGGGGTCTCACAGCAAGAACAGGCCATCAGGGAAATCTGAGAAGGTGCTCAAGGTTCTTAACAAAATGAATTAATTTGCAGAATATAGAAGAGTCCCTGATGATGGTAATAACATGTGTGTTAGCCTTCGTTACTCTGAAACATTCTGAGGAGGATGTAAAACAAGAGTAAGACTTGTAATTAGAGGATTCCTCTCCATAGAGATTCTAATGAAATCTGAATTGTCCCCAGGCTGTCTCTGTTGTCATAGGTTAAACTGGGACGTAATTACAACTCCATTTTACAGATTAGAAATACAAAGGAGGAGCTGGAAATGATCAACTTTTCCAGGTATTTTTTTTTCAACAAAGAAAAATAATAGAGTCATTAGAGTACTTTCAGATCAGGCTCATCGCTAATTTATATGATGGTCAATGCGAGGAGGGGTGCTGACCAGAGGAGGGAGGAAAATAATTCAGCCCATTTTGGAATGAATACCAGAGTATATGAATAATAAATGGGAAACAGTGTTTGCCTTTCTCTCTTTGAGTTTTCATTTAGTAGCATTTCTTTATAGCTCTACGGCTTATGAATTGCTGGAATGCATTACTAAAAAGACTAGAGTCATGGAATATGCCATACGAGGTCAAGTAGCTATAACTTTCCAGGAGGCAGGCATAGAAAGTTTCTAGTAAACGCAGCTCTGTCTGGCATCACAACGATGAAGCAGATCACAACCCTGATGATAAGGATCGTCTCATGAACACTGTTGGGTACTTCCAGGACAAAAAATAAATAAACACAAATGTATAAACATAAAAATTATTTATGTCCATCCATGACATCTCTCTTGTTTCCCATGTCCAACCTACATTCTGCGACTCAAGTAAAAAAATCCTCAAGTTTTTTAGCAAACAATTACACTACACTGTTTTCAAAATCATCCGTATGTCAGCCACTGACTTCTGTAAATATGCAATGCAATTTCCAACTTACTATGTGAATCTAGAAGCTGACATAAGAAAATTCATTTTCTATAATTTTAACTGCTTTTCCATAACAAGAAAAAAATACTGTTTTGTTACATTCTAATTAATATCACTAATATGGAACAGGACCAAAGGTATTGGGCCTCTCCGTTTGCATGTTAACTGGGATTCCCTCCTTGAAGGAATTTTTGCATTGTCAAGGGGTTAAACTGGCAGCTGTCAGGCTGTTCTCACGCAGACTACAGAATTTGCCCCTCCTTCCTCGTGTCTGATGAAGATGTATGCCAGATGCTCTGAAGAAAGTACTGGATTTCAAAATCTTACAGTCAGCAAAAGGGGGAAGGAGGTTTACAGAATAAAAAGTGGATCCCTTCAGCATTAAGAAAGACTTTAAAACCTAGAAATCTGTGTTGTTAACATTAATTATCTAACACACCGGACAGAGCGACTATCAAATTAAAGATTCAGAATCCTTGTTTGGTCAGAGAGGTTTTTCTCCTAGTCAAATTGATTGATTTTGAAATGCTTGCTACAAAAATTTTTTTTGGATTGCTTTGCTGAAATAAACATAGATGTGATTACCAAGAAGTGGTCACTGCTTAAAGTTTACTCTGAATGGGTAAATAGTGTGTGTGTGTGTGTGTGTGTGTGTGTGTATGTGTGTGTGTGTGTATGTGTATGTGTGTTTTAAACATATGAATAATGAATTCTGAAAAACTTGTGAAGATGTTTTTACTTTTCATTTTTGCTTTTCTCTTTGGAAATCTAAGATAATTAGAATAATTTTTGTTTTTTGCAAGAAATAGCAAGTGAATAAGATTTGATCACGAATGCATTTCCACTGTCTCAGATCTGTTACTTCATTATTCAGATGTAAAACAACATGATCCTTAAAGTCTGAACATCATTTATTTTGTAGGTATAGTTTTCGGAACATTTTATTAACTTTATTCAGTCTAGATCTATTTTTTTCTAAAAGTATACAACTTTTTCTTCATATTATAAGATCCTAGGGCTGATGGTAAACATAAAGGTTAATGTTTACCACAGTAAAGGTCAAAAAATTATGTATCTCTAAAGAATAATTTCTTTAATATTATAAAATGTGCTAGTAAATTTATGTAGTACTAATAGAAATATTGAAAAATAATGTTTACACTGCTGAAAGGCTGGCAAACCTCTTTATATTAAAGAATATAACTGTTGGATTTCTACGTCTATACCAACTCTCTTGACCATATATTTTTCTTTTTTTTGAGACGGAGTTTCACTCTTGTTACCCAGGCTGGAGTGCAATGGCACGATCTCGGCTCACCGCAACCTCTGCCTCCTGGGTTCAGGCAATTCTCCTGCCTCAGCCTCCCGAGTAGCTGGGATTACAGGCACGTGCCACCATGCCCAGCTAATTTTTTTATTTTTAGTAGAGACGGGGTTTCACCATGTTGACCAGGATGGTCTCGATCTCTTGAGCTCGTGATCCACCCACCTCAGCCACCCAAAGTGCTGGGATTACAGGCTTGAGCCACCGCGCCCGGCCCCTTGACACATATTTATGCTTTAATTTATATTGTTTATACATCTTTGATTTAACACAAAAAATACTCTGCAAGTATATTTTTCAGCAAAAGACAGTTATTGAAATACATTGATAGCATGATAAACTCTTCAAGTTGTCCTCTCAAATCCCATCGTAATTTTGTTTTATTTTTTGATTTTTCACTCTGCAGAGAAATAAGGCACACACTTTTCAAATCTGCTACAAGAAAAGGTTGCTAGAACCGGTGCAGTCCCAAGTATTAGATGTAAACACTAAATCATCTCCAACCAAAATCCATCAATCTATTTAACCTTATATTTGTATTTATACCTGCATTTTTGTGTTCCTATTTGAAAAAAAAAATAAGCTATGAGAGGTATTAAATTTTTCACTAAGAATTTTAATTATCTTTCTGGGGATACAGGAACTTTGCCCCTTAAAATTAGATGTGACCAAATGAGTTGTCTTGACCAATGAAATGCGAGCAGAAGCATTTAAGAGCTGTGGTACAATTTACCTTATTTCTCTTCTGGACAATGCAGGCTGGATTGCTGAACAAAGATAAGATGGGAAAAGGCCTTCCCCAATTTTTGATGGACAATTGGTGTTAACAACAACTACCCCCAAATCTTTTTTGTTTAAATCACTAAAATTTTGTTTAAATCACAGCTTAATCTAGCCTATCCTGTTTGCCTCAATCTCTTTCTCTTTATCTCTGTTTCTGTCTCTGTTTTTATCTTTCTCATTTTTTTTTTTACCCAAATACTTAACAGACTGTAGCATTTGGATATGGAAAAAAAAGAAAAAAGCATGGAGAATATAGGATTATCAACCTTCTTTTTGAAATTGACCATGTAAGATGGAACTGAAAGACTACAACTAATTCAATTACAGCTAGAAAGAAAACAGTTGATCCTTTTTCTTTAAATATGTTTCCCATGTTTTCCCCTGAAGTACTCTATCTTCCAACTCCCTCTTTCCTAAGCCAATCACTAATCCTGATCAGTGACCACCTTCTAATGCCTTTTACCTGAGTTATTTATGTAGAGACAAACCATATAAGCAGCAGATCAAGAGAGAGGCCCAAAAAGAGTAAGAATCAGAAACAACTGTTTGGTACAGAGAAAAACTGGAAATCTGAAATGGATGCCCTCAGTGTTGTTCGAGTGATAGCACTTCTACAGATAAGTAATAAAAGGAATCAATAAATTAATTCTAATTTGCTATCATCTGTCAAAATTTATAGCCCAATTTATGTTTAAGATGATACATTTTCTCTTCTCAGCATTGAAAATTCTCAGAAAACAAAAATTATATCCTGAAAGTCTAAAATTACCAAATGTCAAGTGCAGAGGAAGGAGTGAAAGGAACACTCTGGATGCCTTCAGGATCCCTTGAATAATCTTGTAGAAAATGCAAGTTCAACACTAAACACGACAATACCTACTTCACAGTACATGGTTACTGCCTATTTGTGGTTGTGCTTGTCTTCATTACCATTCCGCTATTGAAAAATTAGATTACATTAATTTATGTTTGTTCAGATTCACACTCTGAGAAAGATAGCTTATATATCCTTATCAATTTCTCCACGAAAAAATATTTTTAATAATGGTTGACTAAGAAAACCAATCACTGACCTGAACACTGTATAATTGAATTTAAAAATTAAACTTGGATACAGATACCTATTTATACTCACATGTTATTTGATATTTTATGTCCACAAAGCAAATACTTTATCCGTTTTAAAGTGAATCTCTAGACAGCTTTAGAAAATAAAGCTTAGTCCGGGTGCGGTGGCTCACGCCTATAATCTCAGCACTTTGGGAGGCTGAGGTGGGCGGATCACAA